ATTGTTGCATAGATACACACATGGCAGTGTGATTTGCTGCCTTCCTCCCCATCACCTATATCTGGCATTTCTCCCCATGCTGTCCCTCCCTTATTTCCCCCCAACAGACCCCAGTGTGTGATGCTCCCCTCCCTGTGTCCATATGTTCTCATTGTTCAACACCCACCTATGAGTGAGAACATGCGGTGTCTGAATTTCTAAACTTCTTTTATTCTTTGCATCTTTAAGAAGCCTAATAGTCTTCTCCTTTGTGATTCTCTTTTTCACCCCCGTTAGCTGTGTTCAGTATCCAAAGAGTCAAGGCAATGAAGCAGACTTTGAAATGTCTTCTCCAGACTTATGCATCCTTTTCTTTTTGCTGTTTCATTTCAAGTACAGTCATCCTCCAGGTCACCCAGGCTTAAAATCTTACATTATGTTTGACACTATATTCCCCTTTGCCTCAATAAATAGTGGGTTGCCCATTTCTCTTGATTCGGCATTTTCTTTCCTGTATCCCCATGAATGAATTCTCCCCTTTCACTATATTAGTTATTATCTCCTTTGCCTTTTCTCTAAACCTTTATTTATTCTTTCATCTAAGAAATATTAACCGAGCACTTTCTGTGTGCCAGGACACTGCTAATGCCAATGTAACAGAAGTGATTGAGAAAATCCATGGTTGTCACAGAGCCTGAAATCTAGAGGGAAGACATGACTAACAAGTAGGGACAGTGTGCTAAACCACAGGGGAGGCATGTTCTTCCTCAAGGAAGGGATATTTGGGCTGAGGCTTGAAGTAGGTGAACAGGAGGAAGCCAGGTACAAGTCAGACAGGGGTTGTGTAAGGAACATCCAGCCAGAAGAGACAGCAAATTCAAGGACTGCAGGGATCAGGTGGGTGGAAGTAATGATATTGCAGAGATCAGTGCCAGTGTGAAGGCCCTTGCTAACCATCTTAAATAATTTTGACCTTTTCCTAAGAGTATTGAGAGCCACCGAAACGTTCCAAGCGGGGCAGTGAGGTGTTGAGAAACATCCCATCAGTTGCCATTTGGGAACTGAAATAAGGGACACTGGAATGAGAAAAAGGGAAATGTTTGGTGGGAAAGATGAACTTGGTTTTTTTTAGTTCCATCTGGCTCTCTCACCTATGCTCTTCCATGCTGCAGCCAGATGGACTTCCTGGTGCACACACTGCTTATCTCAACTGAGAGAATTTTAAGCCGTGTGTGCTGCTCCTGGAATAAAATCTGAATTCTCCACCCTATTGTTCACAGCTTACAACGATGTCGCTCCAGCTCTGTTTTAAAGCTTTCTTTACACAATTCCTCTTGTCTTCCTGGCTGTAACCTACACTCCACACTCCGGAACTTTCCCACAACATGCTTTTGTCCTGGGTTCCCTCCGTCTTCTTTGCCTGAATGAACACTTAAGCCTGTTCCCCACTCCGTTCTTGCTCAGATGTCAGCCCTTCCAGGATAACTTCACTTGTTTCCACTGCCAGTAATTTCCTTTTCCTCTGAAATCCTCATTATAATGCAATTTACAGGGTGATGACATTCTTCATCTCCCCCACACAATAGAGCCAGTTAGGAGGCAGGACGGCATCATTGTTCTCACGGTTCTCAGGAACACCAACTCCAGAACCAAACTGCCTGGATTCAGATCCCGGCTCTGACGGCTCCTAGAGTGTAACACTGGGCACATCACTTAATGATCTGTACTCTGCTTCTCTTCAGTAAAATCATAGTTTTTACTTTCTCAGGTATTGTGAGGATTAAATGAGTAAATGCATGCAAAAATGCTTAATTTAGTGTCTAGCATATAGTAAGAGCTGCCTAAATACTTAAAATCATATTTATCACTTACTTGTAATATTCATTCTATGAAATTGTAACTTTTTTGAGGACCTAATCCACATCTGATGTTTTTTATGGCTTCCAAATCCTTTACTGCCTCACAATGGGTAAATAAAATATGGAATATGTGAACTAGGATACCAATGATTAGAAAGCCCTAATCAATTTTCAAATAGTTTGTTTTGAGGATAACATTTTTCTTTTAAAATTGACGAAAATAGATGATTGAGCAAATATTTAATGAGTATAAACTTTGGTTTGTAGAGTACATAGAATATACTGAGGAACAGGCGCTCCTTCAATTTTACGTTTAATTCATAGAGGCACCCATACAGATAACTGCAATATAAGATGCAGTAGAAAAAGCATATCGTCTAAAAGTCATAGTAGGAATTCAAAAGAAGGGGTGGCTGGGGTGAGCAGAAAATAATTTGTTGAAACTTTTAGAACGAAGCACAAATAAGTCAACTCTCCTAATGTTAGCCAATACTTACTGAATCCTCACTGTACCCGGCACAGTGTTTGACTGCTTACCACATACTGTCACGTTTCGGCCTCAATATATTTCCAAGATAAAGTATGTTGTTGCTGCGCCCATTTTACAAATGGGACAACTGAGGTATAGCCAGGCAATATTAAATAAATTGTGGAAGATCCACAACTAAGGAAAGAGTAGAGCCCAGCCAGGTGCAGTGGCTCATGCCTGTAATCCCAGCGCTTTGGGAGACCAAGGTAGGCAGATCATGAGGTCAGGAGTTCAAGACTAGCCTGACCAATATGGTGAAACCCCATCTCTACTAAAAATACAAAAATTAGCCAGGTGTAGTGGCACACACTTGCAGTCTCAGCTACACAGGAAGCTGAAGCAGGAGAATCACTTGAACCTGGGAGGCAGAGGTTGCAGTGAGTCAGGATCGTGCCACTGCACTCCAGTTTGGGTGACAGAGCAAGACTCTGCCTTAAAAAAACTAGAAAAAGTAGAGCCAGAATTGGAACCCAGGGAGACTGGATTCAAAGCCTATACTCTCTCCTACCACCAGCATTGCCTGTGGCACATGCAAACTAAGAGGTCCAGTCTGCTATTTGCTGAACTGTTTTTAATAACGTATTTTATTTCGTTTACTAGCATTCAGTTTTTATTTTTTAAACTTATACCTCCACCATGGATACTGAAAAATATTGTTATTTCACATATTTCTGGCCAACTCAATCTTTCACTTATATTAACAAGTCCTGAACTTCTTTATCTGTGAAATAAAAAGTTTGAAGATTTATCAGTAGTTCTCAGACAGCTCAAAAGTAAGTTTAAGTAAAAATTATGCAGACTTCTGTATTACAGTTGTTCACCTTTGCTCATTCATCACCTGGAGAAAGCTTGCTGGATAATGAAAAGCTTTATTGATAGGATTTTGCAGCTCCCGAGAATCCACTCTTCCAGAAGAATTTCTATGGCCATTTCTAGTGGAAATAGTTGAGAATTTACATATTCCAGACTTCAGACCCCTGTATGTGTAGTCTCTGATCTGTCATTCTCTTCCATGAGAAGGAGTACATATGCTCCCTGCATTCCTTAATCTTCTGTCAAGGTTTCTCCATTTGTCTTCCCCGTCATGAGTTTTTCCTCCTCCTTTTAGCTTCAAGTCCTTAATAAACAATAAAGCTTGCTTTGCTGAATTCTTGATTCCTGTTGAACTACTATAGCAAAGGAAATATGTCTGAAATATGTGAACTCAAACTTGGAATATAAATTTATAGAATTTTAACTTGTTTTGTAAACATAGTAAAAGAACAGGTTTGTGCTTCTCATTTTTTTTTTTTTGCTGAATCTAGACATTTTTATGGGAGATTAAATCCTGAAGGCAAATCTGTCTGTATCTTCACATAGACTTCGTAAATTGGAAAACTAAGGACAAATTCTGTGTATGTGAAATAATACTGTTGAATATTTTTACTTGACATCAGGAGCACGCAAAACAACATTATCTCCTGTTCACATCTACTTGTACCTTTCTTTAATTTCTCCTTAACACTTTTGTCCATGTTTTCCCCATTCCTTGAGAACTTAATATCTTTGTGTAGCAGAAATACTTGAGGAGAGTTTAGTTAATTCATTCTTGACACTGCTAGAGGGAGGGGCTATAGTTGTAAAAAGGCAGCCAGAAAATGTCAGTACCTACGCCGTGGCCCCCAGCAATATGCACATCTCTGCAGAAAAATCCAAAAGTCATACTCAGGGTTTTGGCAGTGGGCATATTTTTGTTACGATAACCTCGCTTTCAGCCGAAACAGTTCAGGCCAGCGACTCCAGCAAAGACAGAGAGTCTGTGCTCTTCAGTAGCATTAATCCTTTAACACTACAAGTTTCTTAGGCAGGGTCAAAGCAATTCTTATTCTACAAGCACTCACTCACAACCACACAGTAACATATGAAAAGTAGTACAGTGTCTGGCACGTATCTCTTCACTCTCCCCTGGACTTGGCCGCTCGTTTCTTTGTGGTCCCACTGAAATTGCAGAGATATTTATCACAGTACCTATGTTGCTTGAATGCAATTTCCTGTATCCATGTCTCTTTTCCCCTTCTTCCTGGCCTTTGTATCTTATATCAGCAGCACCAAGTACAGTGCCTGGCTCATGGTAAATACTTAATTAATATTTGTTGAACAAAAACTCTGGAGTGAGAAAGCAATGAATTAGTGAGGTAACTGAGCTGAGTAGTAAATACGGAGTGGTAGATTGTTTGCAAGATGCAGTACATGGCAGTCCCAGGACTGTTTCAGACAGGGGGAAAGGGATTGCCAGGAGCATGGAGGTGGGAACAAGCTGCTCTGGGAGAGAATGGCAGCGGGACTATCCTCGCTTGCTCGTTTTGGACAATAAAGAGAGGTTAAGTTTGGACATACACCAAAGACTTAGAGACAGTTGATAGAAACTCCTAAAAGTTGTGTTTTAAGAATTTATATTTTATTTAATAAGCAGTAGTGAGACTCTGTATTTATTTGGTCTGGACAATAAATGGTCAAAATAATATTTTAAAGAATTATTCAGATTAGTGTATGCTTATATCAAAATTCATACATATGAAACATCAGGTTATGAGAAATTGACCTGGGTTTGTATATCCTCAGTTGATCGTAAGGTCTCTGTTTTCTTCCCACAGGTTGTTATTTTGTACTTTGAGCCAAGCATATTTCGCTGCATTCTCCTCAGATGGGTCCGTCTTCTCGGTTTTGCTACTGTTTATGGAACTGTGACTCTCAAACTTCACAGGTATATACATTTTATTTATCTTCATTCTCAGGGAAGGATCAAAGTGATTGGCTTAGCACATAATTGTTAGCTGGGCTAATCACCTAAATGGCTCAATTTCAAGAACTTAGATAGCAAGATACTATATATTTTTCACTTTCAAGGTGATGACATCTTTTGGATTCTTTGGGGAAATCTTTAATAGAACTGAATTATTTTAAAAAGATGCTTCAATAAAATGTGGTATTGGTTATGGAAAGGGCTAGTTCCTATTAAACAGTAAGTTTAAAATGTGAAACAGTATTTACTAGTTCAGAACAGGAAGGAATACAAAGGTGATACTGCTGAAATAATGATACATATCCATAGTGACCATAGAATCCCATACAGAAACACCCTTATTTGACAAAAAAACTACTGTCCTCCATTCCCAAGTTCCATGCCCCAAGGTAATACTGCTGATATTCGATGGGTGAAGTTCAGAAAATAGTGCTTTTGGCTTTCCTCCTTAACCAATGTGCTTCAGTGATTATCAGCCTTGGAAAATGGAGAATGCTGTAAGTTCCCTTATACTTAGTTCCAAAACCACCTAAATATTAGGGAAGAAAAAAAGCAGTAAAGTAAACCATCTATCTGCAAAGGCTGGGGACGGCCGGAAATTATTCCAGGCTTTTCCCTTGCCTCCTTTTTCTAAGTTTAAAGAAAGTCTCAATGAAGTGCTGCCAAAGGGCATGGGAGCTAAACAACAAATTTTCCCTGCAGGGTAAAACTGTAGCCCTATGAAGAAAACCCTTTGCACTGATCAGCTTTAAAGCTGTTTTGATAACCATGGTAAGCCATTCACAGGTTCATACTAGTTTGGCCATACATTTTCCTGAATAAAAATCTCCTACTATGGGTCGGTCATACAGTGGTTTATCTCAGGTGCCATAATAGGTATTATCTCTATCTTTAAATGTCCTCCTTTTCAACCTTTTTAAAAATGTGATAATTACACTATAAGAATTTTTATTTTCATTTTTTCCTCTTTTGGTACTTACTGAGAATGCTGTAGATTATCCTTTTATCTTTTTTGAAAAAAAATGGGAATGTGTTTGACTTTCAAGATTTCCTTCTAATATATGTGGTAAAGTACAAAACATATTGGATTAGGTTTCAGGAGATCCTATTTAAATCCCAATTTAGCCTCTAACTCTAATAAACCATAGGCATCTATTTCCTACAAAAGGAGAGACGAGACCAGTCTCTAATGTTTTCTCTGACTCTCACTGTATTCTATTCACATTCCAGCACACTTCCCTTAGGCATCCTTCTTTCTTCAACAACCTTCCAGGTCTCCGTTTCTTATGTGATAGCTGTTTTCAAATTGGTGCTCACTAAAGGAAATGAGAAATCAATGACAACCCATGTGGACAATAAGCCTTCCAGAAATCCTGAAAGAACAGATGCCCTGTCGAGACTTGAAGATGAACTCTGTCCCTGTTGGTCTAGCACTTAGTGTCTAGTGGGTCCTCTATTACAATACTTACGGTGCCGTATAGTTTTCTTATTTAATTGTCCTCTTCACTTTGATTTACCTTCTTCTTTGAAGTAAGAATTATAGCATTATGGAATCCCCAGCACTCAGCACAAATGACTGACCCATGGGACATTTTAATATATATTAGTAGATTAATTAATGAATGAAAATGTCAGATGCAGCCCTGGAAGCTGCTTCCCGTCATTCTTTCCACACATAACCCATTGACAGTCCCCTGACTCACTGTGCTCTCCCTCAGCATGTCTCCCAGCATCTGGAACACATAACACTGTGGTCTGTGAGAGGATGTTTAGGGGGATATGAACCCAGTGTTCAGTAGTACTGAATCATTTAATGAGAAAATTACTTCCATTCAGGTTTTCCTTCAATCCTTCTGATTATTTTCAGGAGAAAGATTAGTTGAGAACTAATAAGTCTTTAACACTTGCTGAACAGTTGCTAATCTTCCTTTGCATTGAAGAGAAGATCAGGCTTCAGTTTTCAGAGCTTTTCACTGCAATGCTGTAAGATTCATTATCTTAGTTTCATTGCATTTATTTTTATAGTTACTTTCTATTTATGGAAAGTGTTATCTATCACTAGATAGTGATAAGGTAGTGATATAAAACTTCCTTTAAATATTTTAAAACAATAAATGTAAACTGACTTAAAGAAATTATAATCTGAGGCACAGATACAACAGAAATCTTGACATTAGTATGCAAATAGTTGGAATTTGGGAAACTGTGATAACATTATCTCTTTTGTTTATTTTAAAAAACAAAATTCAAACTATTTTCCGTGTGGCTTTGTATCTCTAGAAGTCATTGCAGTGAAGAGTTTCTCCACCAAAGGCTTAAATTGAAACTATTTCTAATGTAATGAGCTGAATCATTCTTATCCTCTGTGAATCATATGGCTTTACTATTCTGTTTTTTTCTATATCGGTTAAATTTAACTGTTACCAACATTGTTTACATCTATAAACTGAAAAATCAGCATCCCATAGAAATGTGAACAACCTGAAGGAAGGACCAGCTGAGCCAGCTTTGCACTCCCCAGATTTAGTACTGTATTTTTCCTGTATTATGTATTGAGATATTTGTTGAATGAGTGAATGGATGGATGATCCTAATGAATGGAGCTGCAAAGGGTGGTTTTGGCTGGTGTTTCCTAGAGTGAAGAAACACGTGACCCTGAGAAAGGGACTTCTAAGCTTTTGAAGTGATGTGATAGAGAGGAAAGACCTAACTCCTGACAATTCCAAACTGGAACTTCAATTCTGCCATTACTTATTTAAACAACAAAGAATAAATAACATCTGAGAATTAGTTTTCTCATTTGTAAGATGGTTTAATATCTCATCTATAAGATGGTTTAAAGTTTAATAACTTTAAGATGATAAAGTTGTAGGGACTAAGTATAATTTGAATGTATGTGAATATGTCAAGTAGGGTTTTTTGGTTGCAAACAAAATGGATTATGGCATTTGGCACAGAACCAAATGGATTTGGTTATTGGTTGTTGTTTGGTTGCACAGAAATGAATTATGGCTAAGTTAAGTAAAAAGGGGATTCATTGGAAGAATAGGGAGAATGCCACACATTGAAGGGAAAGCTAAAGAACCAGGATTTGGAAGGAGTTGATCAAGGGTAGCTTGAGGGATCAAAATAGCTCAAGCTAAGGGACAAAGCCTTTTGAATCCTATAGCTCCATTTTTTTTTATTGCATTTTAGTTTTGGGGGTACATGTGAAGAACATGCAAGATTGTTGCATAGGTACACACATGGCAGTGTGATTTGCTGCCTTCCTCCCCTTCACCTATATCTGGCATTTCTCCCCATGCTATCTCTCCCCAACTCCCCACCCCTCTGCTGTCCCTCCCCTATATCCCCCCAACAGGCCCCAGTGTGTAGTGCTCTCCTCCCTGTGTCCATATGTTCTCACTGTTCAACACCCACCTATGAGTGAGAACATGCAGTGTTTGATTTTCTGCTCTTGTGTCAGTTTGCTGAGAATGATGGTTTCCAGGTTCATCCATGTCCCTGCAAAGGACACGAACTCATCGTTTTTGATGGCTGCATAATATTCCATCATAGCTCCATTTTTATAGGAATTCCACTGTCCATTTCAAGGTTTAAAAAAAATTAAAAGTAAACCATACCTCTCTAGGCAAAAATTCTAAGGAAATTATGAGTACTGATTTATGAAATGACTGTTTATAGTCCCTTGAGGATAAGGTAGGAAAGAAATATCTGACTTTTCATTTTATTTCAGCCATTTCCCTTCTGGCTTACTGGAATTATTAGATACTTCTTTCTCTATCACCTGGGTCTCTCACTAATTGATTGTAGTATTTATAGAATTCCTGTAGCATGGAGAACTTGAAACAAACATGAAGGAGGAACAGGATCACACTTTGTCACCAAAAATGAAAATAAATATTATTTTATTGTATAATATTTATATTATCAAATAATATAAATAAATATTTTCATTTAGTAAATAGTATTAGTCTGGGATGAGAAAATAAAGGCTTTGTTCACTTATACCAGATATTCCACTTGTTTCTATGGTGGTCTCTCTCCACGTTTGAGAATCATATGGCCAAAGACTACCATGATAATCTAAAGAAAAATTATAAAAGGGCCCCTTGTTTATTAACAGAGACACACAGTTGCATCGAGTTGCGGTTGGGGTTTAAGTGGCCTGTCCGTTTAGAAAGGTGCATTTTGTTTTTTATCACTGACGTTGTTTAGAATCAGCAGCAGGTGATTGTAAAAAGGCCAAGGCTTTTTTTGTTTGGTTGGTTTATTTTTTGAGATGGAGTTTTGGTCTTGTTGCCCAGGCTGGAGTGCAATGGTAGGATCTCAGCTCACTGCAACCTCTGCCTCCCAGGTTCATGCAATTCTCCTGCCTCAGCCTCCCAAGTAGCTGGGATTGCAGACACCCACCAACATGCCTGGCTCATTTTTTGTATTTTTAGTAGAGACGAAGGGGGGTTCACTATGTTAGCCTGGCTGGTCTTGAACTCCTGACCTCAGGTGATCCACCCACCATAACCAGCTTTTAGTTGTCTTCATTATTTCCCTAAATTCTCCACAGACATTTGAGAGAGCGTCCCCTTGTTGCCTACACCCAAGGCAGACCACTGACATAGCCCCACCTCACTGGCAAGCCATTCGTTTGATACCATTTATTTGAAGCTGCAACTGTTTGAAAGAGAGGGAGGAAGGAAGGAAGGAAGAGAGGCAGAGAGAAAGCAAGAAAGAAGGAGGGAGGGAGGGAGGGAGGGAGACAGGGAGGGAGGGAAAGGTACAGCTTTTAGCTAGGTCAGTGTGGATCATAAGGGAAAAAAGAGCTGAAGTAGGCAAAAACAATGAACGTTTATTTACAAAAAAGGAACTTCCTTCGGGAACCTTGGATGTGTTTGACTTAGTACATAGTAATGTGGGGCAGATCCAAAAGAACATCTAGCACTCCCATGAAATGTGGGTTCACA